AGACTCTTTCTACCGTCCTGCTATGCCATGCCTCAATCTCAGACTTTCTATCTCTAAAACTGTGAGAAGAGAATGCAGCTTTCCTGACAGTGCTGGGAGTCAAACCCAGGGCCTGTGTGCACTAATCAAGTGTTACCTCCAGTGAGCTGTGACACACAGCCCTTGGTTTTAAGACAGAGTCTCGGCATAGAGCCTATGACATCCTGAACTCCCAATCCTCCTCCCTCAGCCTCCCAAATGTTGGAATTACAGGAGCCCACAAGGCCCAGGGAGACGTCTTCCTTCTTTCAGTTGTCTGGGACAGGGTGTTAGTTAACGGAAGGTACCACCAGAACGCACTATGTGACTAGACTAGGCAGGCTCCCTAATACTGGGGCCATAGAACATGGACCAGCTCGTGCAGCTGCATCTTTTCTTTGTAGTGACAGGCTCAGTTGCTCCTCCCTCTCTGCTGGGTCACCCCTGACACACACCACTCCTAACACGCCCTTTCTTGGCCCCGCATTCCCCTCACCACTGATGGGTCTCTTGGCTCCCTTTTCAACAGCACAATTCCTTTTCCCTTACCCACTGTAACTGACTTCTGCCTCCATCTCTCCTCTCAGAGTGTTCTTGTCTGGGTCACAAGCGGTCACACACTAAAGTCACCTAACTCCATCTCGCAGCACCATTAGCCATGACCCTTCACCCGTGTATCAGACACTGTTCTCTCTGGGCTGGAAAGAAGTCTCAGTGGCAAAGTGTAGGTAGATGGCTGGGCAGTGGTGGTGCTTACCTTTAATCCCAGTACTCTGGAGGCAGAGGCAGGTGGATCTCTGTGAGTCCGAGGTCAGCCTGGTCTACAGAGAGACACCCAGGACAGTCAGAGCTACACAGGGAAAGCCAACCAAAAACAAAATAAAGGGGGGGGGGCGGCAGTTACTACTCTTCCAGAGGACCCAAGCTCCCACCCCTTTTTTTTTGGGGGGGGGGTGGGACTGTTGTTGCTAAGTTTGTTTTTGGAGCAGGGTCTCACTTTGTAGCCCCTGCTGTCTCAAAAGGAAGAGAGGTAGCTAGGAAGATGGCTTAGAGGTTAAGAGAGCTTGCCATTCTTGCAGAGGACCCACATTCGCTTCTTAACACCTGTGACAGATGGCTGACATCTACCTGTAATTCCAGCTTGCTGTGCTGGGAGAGCATAAAGGTCCTTGCTCCACCACATCGCCAGAGAAATCTGGAATGTTAAGCACATAGGACGTTCTTCCATCCAGAACGCAGGAACTGGAGGTGATGAGTAGCCTAGTGATCTGCCAACTGTGTTATCTGATGGATCAGGCCATCTGAAGTTCCTACCACCAGAACCGGAAATACCTAGTAGTCTAAATGACCCTTAACAGGCAGGGGCTCCCCAACCTCCCACAAGGACCAGAGACACCTTATAGTTTACAAGACCCTTACATTCATTATCATAGGGCACAGCTTTAAACCCAGCAATCAGGAGGCAGAGGCCAGCTGGTCTACATAGCAAGTTCCAGGACAGCCAGAACTACACAGAGAAACCCTACCTCAAAAAGCCAAAACAGACAAACAAAAATTAAAAATAAATCTTAAAAGGAGAGAAAGAAAGAGACACAAAGTCTCGCAATGCTGCCTGCTGCCTAGGATGCACTGTGGCTCCCACGCTGAAGTAAGTTTCTGCATGAGCCTTTAAGAGCACTTGTTTTAATGTGATCCGGTATACCGATATGCATTTATACACTACACAAAAAAATATATTGTTCAGGTCCCTAAGAGCCAGGCCCAAACAGTGGCCTAGAACCCACAACGCAGTTAAGGATGACCTTGAATTCATCCTCCTGCCTCACCTCCAGAGTACTGAGATTACAAGAGTGAGCCAGCACACCCAGCTCTGCAGTATGGAGGCTTGAACACAGGCTTTGTGCATGAGGCTGGGCAAACACCTATGAACTGAGCCACCTCCCCATGCATGTGGGAAGTCATCTGATAAACACTTAGACACACGTGTCACAGACATCCATTGCTTGACTACAGAAAATAGACTCCTGACTAAGGAAGGGACTGACTTCTCTCTAAATGACTTTAGAATTCCAGGCAGAAGATCATCCATGGTGAAGGAACGTGCTGTCTGTGAACAGGTAACGCACTGACACGCTGTCCTCATTTGCAGGCAGGGCTCTAACGTGTAGGGCTGGCATAGGGACAGAGTCAGCAACCACCCTTACCATTTCTGCATAGTCCAGCTGCTCTTCCTCACTGTATAGCTCTGGGGGCAGGTTGTAAATCCGCAGGGTGTTATCAGCACTATTGGTCAAGATACAGGAACCATCGGGAGCCCTAAAAATATAGGAAAATTAAAAACTGAACAGACCTATGGTTTCCAGCTGTAGGTCTAGTACATATGCTCTTGAGAAGACACCAACCAGTCCTGGGTAAAACTTAAGCTCATGCAGGGACCCCAGCTACTTGAGAGGCTGAGGCAGAGGGCCTCAATCAAGTTCCAGGCTAGCCTGGGCAACTTGGCAAGACCTTATCTCAAAATAAAGCAATGCCCCCCCCCAAAAAAAAGGCAAAAAGGCTAGGCTAGGATGTACCTTAGTGGTGAGGTTCAGGCTAACATGGTGGACACCTTAAGGTTAAATCCACAGTATTAGAAATGAAAGGAAAGATAGACAGGGCAAAGAAAAAAAATCTTTAATCTCAGTACTCACCACCATTCTATTATTCTTTAACCACCTCCAGATAAGTATGGTTTTTGTTTTTCTGAGTTTGGTTTTTTGGGTTTTTTTGTTTTGTTTTGTTTTGTTTTTTTCCTTCCTGAGACTGGGTTTTTCTGTGTAGCCTTGGCTGTCCTGGAACTCGCTCTGTTGACCAAGCTGGCCTCTGAACTCAGAGATCTTTCTGCCTCTGCCTAGTGGCGCATGCCACTCCCCCCCCCCAGATTACATTCTGTTTTTACTTTAAGACAGGGTGTCTCACTCTATGGGCAAGGCAGGCCTCCAACCCCAATCCTCCCTATTTCCAAGATGTTGAGATTACAGGGCTGTCCAACCACGACGAGCCAAATACGGGTGGGTTTTAAGATGAAAATCCTGAAGGTGGCCGTCTCCCTGGCCGTTGTACTTACCACTTACAACCTTTCAAGAAGTTCTCGGAGTGGTTGCTGAAGTCGGACCAGGAACCACTGAGGTATCGGGGTACCTGAGAGAAGCTGTAGCTCCAAAAGCTGGAAAGGAGATGGAGAAACAACAAACGGGTCGTCAGAGCAAAATGGGCCTGGGACGGAGCTGAGGACGGGTGGCAGTCGATTTCACACGTCCAGGCTCCTCGGATTCCAGAATCACTTACGTGTCTCCCTCATCCACTGGACCGGGTTCCTCAGACACGCCTTCCACCGCTTCTCCTGACTCCAACTCAGGCTGATTCGTTCCTTCTACAGGAAGGCTCGCGTTTTCAGAAAGTCCTTTCTCCTCGGTTCGAGGACTGAACTCACCGGGAATATTAAACTCTACTTCCAGGGGAGCGGAGAGAGGAACTGCGTCCCCTTGTTGCGGATCCTGGAACACACCCGAGCCAGCCACAGAATCTGTAGCTACCTGAGATTGGTCATCTCCACCGCATGGCGGTGGCACCGGTTCAGAGTCTGTATTTTCATTCACAGGGGAACCTTGGGGCACTGGAGCTGGGGCCTGGTGAGGAGGGAGGCTGTCCGGGGCTAAGAGTCGCTCTTCCGACGTCTTCATTCTGTAGAGCAAGCTAGGACAGGGGCCGGGCAAGCCTCGTTGCACCGGTTATCAGCTGCTGAGGCCACACTGCATTAAAGTTCCAAGGGATCCGGGTGGAGAACTGCACAGCCCCACCGTGCCTGCCTTCCTCTTCCGGGAAGAGTAAGCCGAACCCCGCAAACGAGGGTAAACACCGGGAAACCAAAGCAGAGAGCAAAGCACCTGGGGTCGCTACGCGCCACTTGTGCTTCTTGCTCTCGCGGGAGTCGGGCCACGTCCCGATTGGTTCTCTGCATCCTGATTAGCTTCTGGGCGGCGAGGCGGGACAAGTTGACCCAGCCCTCGAGCACGGGAGAATTCTTAGAGGATTCTGGGAGTTGTAGTCTTCATTCTTGGACTTGGCGAAAAGTACACGCGCTCCCCCTACCGTCCGCTGGGGTAATTCTTAAACTATCATCCCTCCCTGGCCTGCAGAGGGCGCTTAATTTCTACAGTCTTGCCCCTCTTGACTATCGTTTTGAGTCAGGCAATCTCAAAGATTTCCTTTCTCCCTCTTTATCTTCCCTTTCTTCATTCTCCTTTCCTGCCCATCCCATCGACCTCCCTTCCCCCTCCCTCCCTTCTTTCTTTAAACATTTATTTTCATGTTCTCACTTCCTACCCAGCAGTGTACGAAGAACTGGAAAAAAGTTCGTAAATTCTCTATCCCCATAAAATTGTCGTTGCTGTGCAATTGAAGGCTGTGAAAACAATCTTCACGGATAGTGATAAGGACTGTGCAGGAAATTAAAGAAAATGGTGTGCTATGAAGTATCTTGGAAAACACGTTATATTGAAATATTAAGAAAAGCCTTTCTAAGGTGACATTTTAGCTGGTAAGAAAAAAACAAAAAAACAAAAAAAAAAAAAAAAAAACAGCTGCCCGTGTTGGCTCATCCTTCCTTGTACGTGGGAGGCTAAAGCTGTTGGATTGCCGCAGTTCGAGCCCAGCCTGGCTATAAAGACCTTGTTTCAAAAAGCCAAAAAGAAGACGGTTCTATCTATACAGCTAGATAGGAAAGAGCAGTGTTCAGCGCTCTCCCGAAACGGTTGCCACCAATTTTGTGCTTACAGCTCCATCTTAGAGTACTTTTCACAAAGCGTTCTTGTGGATAGCAACAACGCAGAGAGAATCCTGACTGCAACTGCCCCTCCCTTCCATTTCTTGCCCTCCACCCACAGAATGACTTGCCCTTACTTGTCATGGCGAATATCCAGCTTTGTGCCAGCAGTCTCGCGAGGAATGCTGGGATAGGGACTTTCCCCTCCCATGTGCTCCTACTGACTAAAAGTTTTGTGCTGGAGTCTACCATCCTGGCTGCAGGTAGCTATTGGTATCAGGGGGCACCTGGCGTCCGGGTCCGGAACCTACTTCCCAGCAGGGTCACACGCACCCCTGAAGACCTGGTAAGTCACTGAGTGAGCCTGATGAGTCCTCTCTGAATCACCAGCTCTCGGTTCGCATAATATGAGGCTAGAGAGAATCGTGGGGTTTTGGGGGTGGGGCAGTGGAGGTACTCAGGTTGGACGAGATGGGGGAATGGAAACTTGGCGGGCGAGATGAACAGGAATGCAATGTTGAATATGATGTAGATAATGGTGATGCTAGGACCAACCAGCCAAACACCTGAGAAATACATAAAGAATTTGGGGACCACTGAGACGGCGGTTTTCTCTCGTCACCCAATATATGCACTTATCGACTCGCTGCTGGCTGGTGGAAGCCCTAGAAATAACATGCACAAAGCACTGTGATGTGGGATCTTTCAAGATTCACAGTTTAAGACTTTAGAGCCCATAGCATCCTAATGAAATCTCGGGCTCCATTCCTTAATTAAATCGGGGTGATCCGGGAAGCTTTTCTGCTAAGGTCCCGCAACTTCCGGACCTTTGTTCCTGGAGTGAATTTTTTTCCCCCAGCCGCACCCCAACCCTGCTAGCCGAAGAAAAATTGTCAGTCTCGCCAGTGAGAATTGTTTACGTTCGTGGCCCGACCGAATTGTCTCGGTCTGAAAGGCCCGCCGACCCTGTTATTGTTTGCATTTCTGCCGCCTGCAGGAGCATTTCCGGTTTCTTTTTTTCGGAGCAGCTCACCGCTCACTCGACAAGAGGGGAGTAGAAACGAGTAAAAATGTATTCCTGGCTGGTACTGGTGCTTGAGGAGGGAAACTGCTACCCTCGATCATCGCATTTTCCTGGATTACTTGGTTATTACTTTTGCAAAGGAGGTGTTTATTTAATAGAGTGTGAAGATAAGTCATTTGCTCGTGCCGGAAAAACAAATTACCGAGTATCCGGTCTTGGGGTGAGCCATTCCCTCGCAGAACGCATTCCTCACGTCCTGAAAGCGGAAGGGGAGGGTCTTGGTCAGGGGCGCCGGGAGGTCCTAAGTGCAGCCGACCAGTGTAGGACGGTTCTAGGGAGAGGTGGCCAGACTGCCAGGATGTATGTATTCCCTGGTACTCCCTGCTCTTGGATCTTCCATCTGTAGAGTGGGTCCTTGTATTGCAGTTGCTTGTCGAGCACCAGACATAGTGCATGTCTTTTTTGTTTTTTTGGTAAAAGTAGTGTTTCCACACAGCACTTGAGAAGGGGGAGTGCATGTCTTTCGGTCCCTCTGAAGGTTTAGTGATTTTAGTCTAAAGAATAAGTGAATAATAGGTAGGAAAAAAGTTTCTTTTTCGTGGCTTCAGGTAAACTCAGAGGAAGACTAGAAATTCAAGTTTACAGAGAAGTACACAAATGACTGCCCTTGAAGTTTTAGACCTGAAGGGAACACAAGGAGGTGAAGGTTAGTCCACACGGTCCCAGTAGTCCAGGATCGTTTTGTTATGCTGATAACCCCCCACCCAGCCCCTGTAATCTCTTGACTGGGCTTGACTTCAGAATCTCCAGGATGTAAAAAGATCCCAATCTAAAGCAAAACAGGGTGCCCTGCCCCCTGATTACAAATGGAGATATATGTAAATTCTGTTCACCTTTTTACAAAAAGACAACTTTGAGAGCATCCTTTATTTACAAAGTTCTTCAGTGTCTCTGAATAATTTAGTGCCAGAGATTGGAGTGGAGGATGGGTACTCTGTCTCAAAAAGAGGAGCTGAATGTGTTGATACTCACTCAGCACAGACACAGGACTACATTACATGCTGGCAGCAGTTTGGAAGCAAGAGGATCTCAAGTTCCAGACACAGGGAGTTCAAGATCAGCCTGAGCAGTACAAAACACTTGAGAAGTAGGAACTGAAGTTCAAGTTCAGAGTGCAGAAATTAGCATATGTTAGCAAATCAGACCTAAGGGGATGAAAGGGTCACTGCAGGCTGTAGTTCTAGAACTCCCAGGGTGCAGAGGCAAGAGGATTGCCAGGAGTTGAAAATCATCCTGGGCTACATGACAAGACCTCCTTGTCTCAGGGAGGAAAAAAGAGCTGGAGATATATGTGGTCCAGTATTTCACCTAACATACTGAAGCCCTGAGTTTAAACCCCAGAACCATAAAAACAAAGGATAAATCAATCCATTTTGACCAAATGTGATTTGTTGAAGGACTGCTATATTGGAATCAAATAGTAATCTTTGTTATTCCTGTTAAAGTTCTGTGAGCCCTTCAACAAGAGATAGGGTGTGGGACAAGCCTTACTGCAAACTAAGTGCCTAGAGTCGAGCACTATGGCAGCTAAGGCCAGTCAGCAATGCACCAAGACTGTCTCGGCAGAATAAATTCCAAGAGCAATATATTCCAAGGTGCTAAAGTGGTCACTCACTAGAGAAAGTCACTTTGACTCCTTCCAGACCTAAACAAGGTTGGTAAATGTTTAGGAGGGAAGGTAACAGCAGACACCTATCTTTACGTTGTGTTGGTTTGGTTTTGGGTTGTTCCTTTGTTTTGTTGCTTATTTTTTGTCTTTGGCTGGTAGAATGAACCAAGTATCTTAGTCTTAGTGCAGGAGAGAGTTACACACGGCTGTTTGAAAATTTACCAAACAAATACTTAACATTCTCTCTTGTTTCCACATTTTAGTTATATAAACAATGTATGAACACTCTCTACCCCCACCCTCTTGTTTAATGAAGCTAAAGCCTTCTCTGGTGGTCAGACATAGTCTCAGGAACAGAGTTCCTTGTCTTGCTGGACAGTGGTGGTGCACGACTTTAATCCCAGCACTCGGGAGGCAGAGGCAGGCAGATATTTGTGAGTTTGAAGCCAGCCAGGACTACAGAGCAAGTTCTAAAGCAATACAGAGAAACCCTGTCTCAAAAAAAAAAACAACAACAAAAAAAAAAAACCACCTAAACCAAATGCAAATTTTAGGACAACAAAGGTTGCACAGAGAAACCCTGTCTTGAAAAACAAGGAAGGAAGGAGACTCCTAACACAGATGTAGAGGCTCACACCTAAAATCTCAACACTTACGAAATTGCAGCAGATGAATTGCCATGTAGCCAGGCTACAGAGACTGTCTCAAATAAAAAACAAAAGTAAATAAAAAATAATGGTCTGCTTGTATTATTCAGCTGGTGTGTGTGTGTGTACGAGTTTGTGGGGTGATTGGTCTTGGTAGCAAGTGCCTTTTCCAGTCATAGACCCATGCATTTTCTGATTTATATGAAGTATTTTGCATTTTTTGCCCAGTAGGTTTCTGAAGCATTTTTTGAAAGACATTTTTATTTGTGCATTCCCTACCAATGGATTCCATTGTGATTTCTCCTAGCTCCATGTCCAGAGTAATGCTGACAGTGCTTTTTGGTGCAAACCTCCTGCTGTACACTTCTAGGAAGTGTACCTCAAAGTGGTTTTGCTGAGTAGTGAGATGTGTGCTTTATTTAAGCTATCCCAGACTCTGCCTTGTTACTTTTTAGAACCAACAATATGTCACCGCCCTTTTTTTTTCCAGTGGTGGGAGTTGAACCCAGGGCCGCGAACATAGTAAGCAAGAACTCTGCTACCCAGCTACCCAGCCAGTTCCAGAAGATTTTTATATTAAACTCTGAATGAAACATTAGAATTTTGTTCGGAGTAGGGTGTGGCTTCCAACTTCCCTGGCTCCCTTCCTTTGGTGGCGGTGGCGCTAGTGGTGGTTGTTTGCTTTGGTTTGGTAGGTCGGAAAGTTGCCATAGACAAGCGGTGGGTCCTTGTGGCCTTCCTGCCTCGGCCTTCTGAATTCAGGGATGGCAGGTGTCAGTACAAGCTTGAAAATCCTGGATAAGTGCTGTAATTCCCTTAACACTTCCTCCATCTGTCATTGGCTACCTGCCTAGCTTTCTCAGAGGATCAAGTGAGCCGAGCCCCAGAAAGTAGCACAGGCGTCTTCCAGGTTTATTTCCTTCCCACCCAACATTTGCCTAAGCATCCGGCCTCCCTGACCATTTGGCAACAGTCCTGGCTGTCCTGGAACTCGATTTTTAGACCAGACTGGCCTTAAACTCACAGAGATCCGTATACCTCTGCCTCCAGAGTGCTGGTAGTAAAGGCGTGCGCCGCCGCCACCAGGTGGCAACTGCTCTTTTTAAGGAAACACTGAAAACATAATTACTATTAGTGACTTGGGTGATAGAGCAGGGAGACCTCCTGCGTCTACGTGGCGATCTCCAAGGAAGACTGAGACGTTTGGCGACCACCCAGTACATGCATATCACAGAGTTCCCTGGCAAGGTGAATTTGCATTAATGGGGAGCAGTTAATAGCACAGACACCCCACTAGCTCACAGAACAAATGAGGCAGGTCATATTAACGTTGCTGGGCTCTTGCGCTGTGTCAGGTACTTTCTCCATTTACATGTGTGCACACATGTCTCCATTTATATGTGTATGTGTGTGTGTGCATGTGGTACTGGGGGGGGGGGTGAGGGAGTGCTGAACCCAGGGCTTCACAAGCTCGTAAATAGTCTACGTCTGAGCTCCACCTCAGGCCAAATCTCAAGTAAATGAAATGACCAACATGTAGCCGTTTCAGATAGGTGGGATCAAGTGTCTGCAGTTTTAGTTATTAATCTGAAGAGGCGCTGGGCCTCCCTCACCCTTTTCCATGGCTTCCTTGGAACTCAGAATGAAGGGGTCCTTTGCCTTCACTGACTGCAGGGAAGCTATGCAGAGTGAGCCTGTGTTGACCTGGGTTTCGGGAGCCATCTTTGATAAAAGCTCACTCAACTGCCTTCTGTGTGTCCTTTTCAGGCCACCAGTCAAGACAAATAAGATAAGCCATATGAAGAGATTTCTCAAAACCCTAAATAAATGAGGAGGAAGTAATCAGTATTAACAGCCGTGGTCCTGGAGGGGATGAGTGATGTCCCAGGGGGCTAACACCTGAATTTAATCCCCAGAACCCACACTGTGGAAGGGGAAACCTAAAATCTACAAGTGGTCGTCTGATCTCCACACTCATGACTTGGCACATACACAAGTTCACTTACAACAAATAACTAAATGTTTACATGAGGACATAATTTTTCTGTTTTTTAAAGCTGTCCTAGTGGGGCCACTTGAAAGCTGGTCTGGGAGGAAGTGAAATAATAGATAATAGCTACATGGCCACATACCTTAACGCTGCGAAGACCATGATGGAATGGCTGGATGGAGACTAGCTGGTACGGTTGAGCATTCCTGAGGAGCTATAGCACACAAGAGAAAGAAGAGCCTGCCTCATAGCCATAGGGAGAATAGAAACAGGAACCTCTCTTCTAGAAGGAACCAGCAGAGAGGGCTGTGGGGACCTGTCCCGAGGGAACAGGTGGGGCACTGATGGTCATCCTTGGGGATTTACCACGAAGAGGGTTTGAAACATGCAGCCCTGTGTGAGATGAGTGATGGGGGAGTCAGGAAGGTGCCCTCCTCCAAAGGGGAAGGGTAGAGTTGTGGGGGTGGGAAGCGCCTCTGTGGCTACCTTTCCCTTAAGATGGTATATGGTTAGAGGCTCTGCTAAGAGGCAGACAACCTGAGGAAAGACAGAAGAGCTGCCCAATTCCTGCTCCCCCCAGAAGTGGTGCCTCACAGACTGTCTCACATCCGGTTCTCACTTTTCTCCTCACAGAAGCCTGGCTGACTTCTCGGGTGCTGCCATGGACGAGTCGCAGTCAGATCTCAGCATCGAGCTCCCTCTAAGTCAGGAGACATTTTCAGACCTGTGGAAACTGTGAGTGCACTTATGGGGCCCCTAAGGTGCCGCTCGCGCACACGCGCACACACTGTATACATCCTCCCCCAATCCAAACACCCTATCTGATAACAAAGGCCTATGAGAAGCTAAAACAAGGTATAGTGATGGGTGTGGGTGTCTTGAATCGCTGTATTTGGGAGGTAGAGGCAGGGGAATCCAAAGTTTGAGATCATCTTCAACTACATAGCAAGTTCGAGGGCAGCCTGGCTTAAGTGATCAGTAGTGCTAACTCTGCTCTCCGCTCTTGTCTTGTTTTGCAGACTTCCTCCAAACAATGTTCTGGTAAGGACCAGGGCACAAAGGGACTGAGGGTTTGGTGGCTGCTCTGGTAGGAGACTGGGAACACAGCTTTGAGTTTCTTCTTTGGTCGTTCCGTAGCCCACCTTGCCGTCATCGGATTCCATTGAAGAACTGTTCCTGTCTGAGATGTCTGAGAATGTCGCAGACTGGTTAGAAGACCCAAGTGAGACGCTCCAAAGGGCAGCAACAGCAGCAGAGGACCCTGTAACCGAGACTCCTGCACCAGTGGCCCCGGCACCAGCCACCCCCTGGCCCCTTTCATCTTCCGTCCCGTCCTATAAAACCTACCACGGCCACTATGGTTTCCGTCTGGGCTTCCTGCAGTCGGGGACAGCCAAATCTGTCACGTGCACGGTCAGTGGCTCAGAGATGTTGACTTTCACGTGACCTTTCAATGTCTGTTTTTTCTGTCTAGGTTTTGGGGTTCCTCTTTAGCCAATGGACTTTGATGTATGTCGCAGAGTTTAATTTCCCCCTGAACTTTTGCCTTTTATCCTTCTGTTCTCTGCATCTCTCCAGGGGACATAGAACTTTCTTTCCTCACATTCCTTTCTTGGCTTTTGAAAATAATCTTCTGAAGCCAGGCTCAGTGGCATATGAATGATGTGGTCCCAGCTGTTTGGGAGGTTGAGGCAGGATTGCTTAAGGCCAGCCTGGGCAGCATAACAAGACCTGACTCTCAAAAAACAAAACAAAACAAAAATAGAGCTCAGTGGGGTGACATACACCTATAACTTCAGCACTGGGGAGCCTAGGCAAAGGTTCAAGGCCTCCCCTCTCAAGGAAAAAAGGGAGAGACCAATGCAGGCTTTTAATCCCAGCACTTGGGAGGCAGGGGCGGGTAGATCTCTGAGTTCAAGGACACCCTCCTGGTTTACAGAGACAGCCAAAGCTATGTAGAGAAACCCTGTCTCGAAAAAAAACACAAGAGAAAAAGAAAGGAAAAAAATTAAGCCTTCTGTTGTGTAGCTCCCAATTCTGTCATTGCTGGCTGCGCATTCCCACGATGCTTGGCATCCAGATGCTGGTGTTTTTCTCAGATTCCCGCTCTGACCCTGGTTCACTAGTTGGCTTGCCCCCTGACCTTCCATTGTTTCTTCTCTTTTACAGTACTCCCCTTCCCTCAATAAGCTATTCTGCCAGCTGGCAAAAACATGCCCTGTGCAGCTGTGGGTCAACGCCACACCTCCACCTGGCACCCGTGTCCGTGCCATGGCCATCTACAAGAAGTCACAATACATGACCGAAGTTGTAAGACGCTGCCCTCACCATGAGCGGTCCTCCGAAAGCGATGGTTAGCACTGTGGCCTGGCTGTGGGATTAGAACTAGTTGCTTATGGTCTCCCCAGCCTCTGACATTCCTGATTGCTCTTAGGTTTGGCTCCTCCTCAGCATCTTATCCGAGTGGAAGGAAATTTGCATGCCGAATACCTGGACGACAGGCAGACTTTTCGGCACAGTGTGGTGGTACCATATGAGCCACCTGAGGTCTGTTCTTTTGGTTTGGTTTGAAGACAGAGTTTGATTTGCTCTACCCCAGACTAATTTTGACCTTGCAGCAACTCTCCTGCCTCAGGCTTATAGGTGTGAACCACTGTGCCCAGCCTGAGGTTTGCTTTAACAAGAGGATCTGGGGGTGGGGGGAGCCAGAGGTGATTGTCACTGGCCACTCAGGTGGGAGGTAGAGAGGCTGAGTCCTGTCCCCTTATCACTGTGCTTAGAATGCAACCCAGAGCCTCACACATGCTAAACAAGTGTTGCTCCCTATCTCCAGCCCATTGCCTCTCATCTAGCACCCTGCTTCTCCGGGAGGTGTGCAGAACCGGCGGGATATCCCTACTCTATAACTAAAACTGAGACTTTCTAGGGGCTATAGACCTTCCTGATTGCTATAGGGTCCCTGTGGTGGGATTGGGAGTGGCTTCACTTGGGTCCTATGTCCTCCCCCAGGTTGGCTCTGACTGTACCACCATCCACTACAACTACATGTGTAATAGCTCCTGCATGGGGGGCATGAACCGGCGGCCTATCCTTACCATCATCACACTAGAAGACCCCAGGTAGGGGTCTTGTCAACTTAGCATGTTCCTCCCCAGCCTCTGTCTGCTCCATGGTTCCACCCACAATCACATGCCTGGCCCTTTTTAGCTCTTGCCATATTTGCATAAATGAAGTCTTTGGTTTACTAACAACTAACATTTGGAATAGGAATAGCTTTCTTACTGTCTGTGCTTTCCTTCTCATCCCCGGTAGTGGGAACCTGCTGGGACGGAACAGCTTTGAGGTTCGTGTTTGTGCCTGTCCTGGGAGAGACCGCCGTACAGAGGAAAAAAATTTCCAAAAAAAGGGAGAACCTTGCCCAGAGCTGCCCCCAAAGAGTGCTAAACGAGGTAAGCAGGCAGGGCAAAGAAGGTGGAGGAGGAGGTCCAGCGTCACCCCAGATTTACTCTCTTACCTCTGCTTTCCTTTTTCACAGCATTGCCTGCCAACACAAGCTCCTCTCCCCAGCCAAAGAGAAAAACACTTGATGGAGAATATTTCACCCTGAAGGTATCAAGGTTGGGAGAGTCGCATATCGAAGATAGGATGTGTCCGCTATTGCCTTTATTGATGTCTCTTCCATGTATCAAGCTAGTACTATTGCCAGGTTAAAGTTCTAAGTTCACAAAACACAGCTTTCAGCTGCTTTGTCTCTGCCTGTGGCATTGGTGTCCGCTCACGCTCAGTGGGCAGCGAGTGCCTCAGAGACAGCTGCTCTTGGTTATAACGAACTTGAGAACACCAACTTAGACCGTAATACAGGTGCTCTCCTACATAAAATGGGAACATGTCCCAGCAAACTCATAAGTTAAAAATGCCATTTGTCAAAAAATGTGTGTGGAGCCAGGCGTGGCTGACAGACACATATCCTCAGAACTGAGGAAGGTTGCTACAAATTGAAGCTTGCAAGAAAAAATAATTAAAAAGAGGGCATTTGGGCTGGTGAGATTGCTCAGTGGTTAAGAGCCACTGGCTGCTCTTCCAGAGGTTCTGAGTTCAATTCTAGCAACCACTTGGTGGCTCACAACCCTCTGTAATAAGATCTGGTGCCCTCTTCTGGCCCTCAGGAACACATACAAAATACTGTATACATATAAATAAATCTTTAAAAAAAAAAAAAAGAGGGCATTTGGGTTGAGGGACAAAGCTGTTTCAGAATACTTGCCTAGCATGCACCAGGCCCTGGGTGGGATCCCGGTGGCAGGCATGGTGCATTTAACCCACCTAACCTACCTGACTCCAGCTCAGCGACATAGTGCATCTCCCAGACTGAATTTCACCTCATGGTCAGCATGTGCTGTTGAGAGCTGTGGTGGCTTGCTGTCTCTCACCAGCATCAGCAGAGCTTCCTACTATGTTATTGATAACTGAAAAAGACCCAAATTTGATAAACACTTGCTACTGAATGCCTGTTCCTTTTACACTATCATAAACCCCCCCCCCAATTGTAAGTCATGCCATCTTAAGTTAGAGACCAGCTTTGAGAAGGAAAGTTGTTAAAAGCACCAAAGTGGTTCTGTGACTTTGTCCAGTGCTCCTGTCCCCTCTGCCCTTATTGCAGATCCGCGGTCATGAACGCTTCAGGATGTTCCAAGAGCTGAATGAGGCCTTGGAATTGAAGGATGCTCAGGCTTCAAAGGGGTCAGAGGACAGTGATGCTCACTCCAGGTGAGTGGCCTGGGGCAGCTCCCAGCTGTGGTACCCCTACCCAGACCTTTCTCCAACTCTGACTTGTGGCAGAAGCCAGGAGACCCATTCGGCTTGATGAGTGACTTTGGGGTTCTGAGGTTAATCTACCCTGCCAAGTGCTGATAGGCCCTGTGAGGTCTGCTTATCCCCCACTTCAGCCTTGGTTTCCTCATAAAGTGGGGTGAGGGACCACAAGGTATGGTGTCACAATCTTGTAATCTCTTCAGTAAGGAAGGCAGAGGCAGGAAGATACTGGAAGTTCGAAGCCTTCACCAAATAAATAAATGTTTGTTTGCTTGTTTGAAGGCTTCATATATATAATTCCAGGCCAGCTAGAGCTATGTAGCAAGCCCTGTCTCAGGTGATGGAGGCTGCAGGGGAGATAAACTGATTTGCAGAAGTACTTCAACGCTTTCTGTGAATACGCCTACCCATGGTAGAGACCATCTTAAATTCCCTTTTTTCCAGCTTCCGTCCTAGAGCCTTCCAGACTTGATCAAGGAGAAAAGCCCGACTGCTGGCCCCTATCACACCATCTCTTCCCTGTCTTCCTACAGCTACCTGAAGTCCAAGAAGGGCCCGTCTGCCTCCCGTCTTAAAAAACCAATGATCAAGAGAGAGGGGCCTGACTCAGACTGACTTCCTTCCTCTGCCTCCTGTCCCCCATCAGCAGCCACCCACCCCCCTCCTTTCCCACCATTTTGTCACTGGGTGCTTGAACTCCGGCTTGGGTTGATCTGTCATCTCTGGTGTCTGGGGAGGGTGGTGAGCTACACCAGCTCCCTCTGCTTTTAGGATTCTGACTCCCGAGGAGAGGAAGAAAATCCTCAATAGGAATTTGCAATTGGCCTGTGCCATGGTGAGGCCCCGCCCAATTCTCTAAGAAAGCCATCTGAGTTTACTTTCTCCTGACTTGAATAGCTGTAAAATGCAAATGAGCATACCTGCCTCTCAGGGTTTGTTGTGATACTTATCCCCTCCATACCTTTTATTACCTGTGGCCTGGACCCAGCCCCCTCTACAACAGGGGTGCTGGTTCCTGGCCCCTGTTGGAGGAATGGGTTGGTAGTTGCCAGGTCTCTGCTGGCCCAGCGAAATCTTATCCCGACACTTGTTGGACCCTGGCACCTAAAATGAAATTTCACCCCACCCTACACCCTGTAAGATTCTATCTTGGGCTCTCATAGGGTCCATATCCACCACGACCCATTTTCTTTCCACCTTGCGCTCAGGATCAGTTTATTTGAACTCTGCCTTTCTGCATTTATCATCCCCCTCCCTTTTTATACCATACCCCCTTTTATATACCGATTTCTTATTTTACAATAAAATTTTGTTATCACTTGTACGTTTTTTTGAGGGTTTGACACCAGCCTAGGCTGCCTGGGCCCCCCCAGGTTACAGGGATGGATTTGGGCGGCTGCCATCTGAGTCCAGACAGTGTTGGAGTCAGGGATGGAGTTCTGGGGTTCCAGGAGAGGAACAAAGCTGGGGACTGGGTCAGTCTGTGGGCTGCATGACAACAAGGGAGAGGGGTGACTCCATTCATAACTTGGGAACCAACTGTCCCTCCTCCCTCCTGCCAGGGCTGGCGCGGTCTTCACCCACCCCTACTTCTAGTATTGGGCAGCTGCTGTCCTCCCAGCAGCCTCTCACAGAGGATTATGGGATTTAAATGTCTGATTTAGCAAACCTGAGCCTCTGGAGTGGCCATCTGCTCCCCAGGGAAGGATTGGGGTGCCTGGGTTCCACGGGGAAGGGGGTGGCTGCTCCTAGATGAAGAGGCCAGTGGGAGCCTTGCCAGCTGGGGTCCCAGGAAACTGGGGGCAGTTAAGGTGAGGTTTGGGGCCTTCCCAGCATGCCCACATCCTGGGCCTGGGGCCAAGCAATGGAATGAATTGAAGCTTTGCACTTTGCCAGGAAATCCTTTGAAAGGGCTTCTTGGGGTAGGAGGAGAGTCAGAGTTGGGGAGCCCAACACCCTCTTACCCACTCTGTCCTTGGGGCTGCTGGCTCCCAGGGAGGGGGGCTAGGCCAAGCTCTCCCCATAGCCTGCTGTTTCCTGAGCCAATGCCAGTAGGGAGAGCCAGTTGGTGAGCATGTGGCTTGGCCTTGTCTCTTGGTAATGGAGAAAGAGGCACTGAGGTCCAGAGGAGCTTTGGGGCCACTGTCCTCTGCCTGTCAACCAGGTTTGATGCCAGTGGGAGTCCTTCGCTTGCTGAGGGGTCCTATATAGCTTGGAAGGGGCAGCTTCCTTTCCTACTTCATGACCCCTTTTTTATTGGTGGGTACCCAATGTTCACACAACAAAGGACAGTCATCTTTTCACTTTTAGTTTTGTGTGTATGTGTGATACCAGTCAAACCCAAAACTTGGTTGGTTGGCTTTTTTGAATGTTAGTTTTGCTGCTTCCTTGAAACTGGCTTTCTCTGTAGTCTTGACTGCCCTGGAACTTGCTGTTTAAACCAGGCTGGCCTTGAGCTCAAAGATCCACCTGACTCTACCTCCCAAGTGCTGGGATTAAAGGCATACGCCACTACCCACTGGGGTCCTAAAACTGTCTTACACACTAGTTATTTTTTCTATCACAGACACTTCATGTGTCCATTGGCCCCAACTACCAGACAAGCTTGAGTTCTTTCTTTCAACAAAGTTCCTCTCTTTCATACAAGACACAAAACAGGGCTTCCCGCCCACTCCCCCTTTTTTCTCTCTTTGTTGCATAGCTTTATAGAGCTATAACTAAATCGGAAGAACTATGTTCAAAGGTCACAAATTTGAGCCCCTTATCTCAAAAAAAAAAAAAGATAGAATGATTGCCAAACTAAGAATTATCTCTATCTCTACAGTTACTGTTTGTGTATGGGGGGAGGTAATAGTTCGGTTCTCCTAAAGAGTTTAGCTAAACAGGTAAACTGCAGCACTACCACCCCACTAAGTAGCCCAGGCTGGCCTCTTCATTGACCTCCTCTTTACTTCCAAGGGCAGGGGTTGGAGCCATGGGCCATCAAACTCAGCCAAACCAGTGTCTAACATTACCTAACCTCCCACATTTCCCTGTATTGTCCTTAATTCTGTCCAGTTAGGGTCTCACGCAACACAGCTAGCTTCCAGATAGCTATATAATGTAGAATGGCCTCAAATTCCTGATCATCCAGAGTGCTGGGGTTATAAACAAATGTCACCCCTCCCAGTGTGTGTGTGTGTTTAGAAATTTAAGAAACATTGGACCTCTGAATTTGAGTGAGGCCAGCCTGGATCAAAAGTGGAGATTGGTGGCAAACACTTTTTTTTTGAGACAGGGTTTCTCTGTATCTTTAGCTGTCCTGGGACTCCCTGTGGCTCACACATTCGGAGGCTAAGGCAGACAGGTCTCTGAGTTCCAAGCCAGCCTAGTCTACATAATGAGTTCCAGGTAGTCAGGAAAATTCATAGCCCTAAGTGCTTTCTTCTCCCCCACGACCCACCTAGTCGGTGTGTATTTGGAGCCTGTCCTAAAACTTGTTCTGTGGACCATACTGGCCTTGAACTCACAGAGATCTGCCTGCCTCTGCCTCTGCCTCCCAAGTGCTGGGATTAAAGGCCAGCACCACTGCTACCCAGCTAGTGCTTTTATTTATTTAAGAGAGGAAAAAATAAGGAACTTAGGGGTTGGAGAGGTGGCTCAGTGGTGCTGCTTTTCCAGAGGACAGGGTTCTATTCCCAGCAGGTATGTCAGGTGGCTCATGAATATGCATCTCCAGGGTATTCAGCCTCTTCTCCAGAGGTACCTACACATCACATACATGATACACATATATAAACTCACACACACACATACAAATAAAACAAGTAACTAAATCTTAAAAAAAAAAAAAAAAAAAAAAAAAAAAAGGAAAAGAAACCTAGCCCTCAACCTAAAATTAAAGCTATAAGTTACCGACATGTGATTGAAAGGATAAATCCAAACCAGGAACTTTGAAATGTGTATTTACATTGAAAAGTTAAAAGTTGTAGCTCAGCAGAGACTCAGCATGTGCAAACCCCTGGGCCTGTCACCCAAAGAAAGGGAGGGGGATGGGAAGGAAGGAAAAAGAAAGGGAAGGAGGAGGGAAACGGAAGGAAGGAAAAGGGAGATCTGGTGAGCTGACACACACCTGAGCCCTTCCGGCTGCCCAGAGACTGAGACGGGGTCATTTGAACTCAGGGCTTTGAGGTCAGTTTGGGCAAGATAAGACTGTGTCCGGAAAGAAGGAAGGGGAGTATAACTCCATGTTAGAGCATGTGCCCATCCTGAAGGCCTTGGCTTCGACCCCACATCAAAAAGTCAAGTGGGTGTGATGGCACATGCCTTTAATCCCAGGGCTAGGAAAGCAAAGGCAGGAAGGTCTCCATGAGTTTAAGGCCAGGCTAGTCTCCATAGCCATGCTAGGCCATCCAGCCGGTGCTTCTTAGTGAGACTCCATAGATAAATAAGCAAGCAAGCAAACAAACAAACCTCAGCTGAGGCAGTAGTGAAGGAATGCTAGGTAGTTTGGCCAACATCAGGAGACTATCTCAAACAAAATTGAGCTAACCTGAAAGGAAAAACATAAATAATCAAATGGCCCACTGTTTATTCTGGGACATAGGAAAAGAGTAAGCATCTCTGGCATACTGTCACAAGCCTTTAGTCCTATCACTCACTAAGGAGGCACAGGAAGGTGGATCTGTGTGACTTAGACTCCAGCCTGATCTATACAGCAAGCTCCAGGCCAGCTAGGACTGTGTAGTAAGACCCTGTCTCTAATAATAATGACAACATTACAGTAAGAGTTAAGAGTGTAGTTCAGGGGATCGTGTGCCACCATGTCCATCCAGAGTGAAAGACAGACAGCTGGCAGAGCACTTGTCTAATAGCATGAATCCCTGGCTCAGGTACCCAGCATGCCCAAACTTTTAAAATACTAAAAAGCTAAGAACAAGGTAAGTTATAAGTATCGGTGCAAATGACCCAAATACTATCAGAATCCATTGCTGAATTTGAGATATACTATGCTCTAGCCAGTCCAGAGTCAGGGTTCCTTTAGTAGCATAAAATCTGTCAACATAATTCATAATAGTAACAAAGGAAAAAATTATATGATCATATCAACAGGTGCTGAAAGCATTTGATTACATTGCAACTGTCTTTCCTTAAAAATATTTTTTTAATTAGAGCAGTAAAAGCATGATAATGGAATGCCAATAGGTTGATTTGTTCTTTAAACTGAAGGTTGAAATGAGGGCCTTGCACTACTACACAAGCACTGTGCTACTGAGCTGCGTGACCAGCAGATCAATACAATAAGCAGGTAGTGTTAAGACCATTTTCAGTTGGGCAGTGGTGGCGAACACCTTTAATCCCAGCACTCTGGAGGCAGAGGCAGGCAGATCTCTTGAGTTCAAGGCCAGCCTGGTCTACAGAGTAAGTTCCAGGACAGCCAAAACTGTTATACAGAGAAATCCTGTCTCTGTCACGAAAAACAAAAAATAAAAATAAAAAGACCATTCAGGGCTGTCCACTAACTTTGGTTTTAATGTGTTGGAAAAGACCAAAAAGAGGCCAGGGAGATGATGACATCGCCGTGAAAAGCATTGACTTCTCTTCCAGAGGACTGGAGGGTTCATTCCCAGCACCACATGCTGGCTCCAAACATCTGTAACTCCAGTTCCAGGCAATCCAATGCCCTTGTCTGGCCTCCTTGAGCCCCAGGGATGAATGTGGTGCACAGATGTACATACAAAACACTTATACACATAAAGTAAAAGTAAATCGTAGAGATTGAAATTGAAATTGATTCTCAAATAAAGAAAGCCCATACCTGTCATCCCAGTACCTGGGAGACTAACACAGGAAAATGGAAGCAAGTTGAAGGCTAGCCCAGACTACTGCATCGTTATTTCAAAAAGGGGGGGTGGGAGGTGGGAGGCTTTTACTTTTTTAGGGAGGAAGAGTCTGTAGCTCAGACTGATTTTTTTATGTTTATTCTTTGGTAATTTATTTATTTTATGTGTATTGGTGTTTTGCCTGCATGTATGTCTGTGTGAGGCTGTCAGATCATGGAGTTACAGATAGTTGTGAGCTGCCATGTAGGTGCTGGGAATTGAACCAGGGACCTCTGGAAGAGCTGTCAGTGCTGTTAACCACTGAGCCATCTCTCCAGCTCCCCAGGCTGATTTCAAGTTCCCATTGAAGGGGATGATGACTTAGAACCTCCAGTCATTCTAGTATAGTAGGCTTGCCTTCACCACTTTGAGTACTACCAAGGTTTTTGTTTTGTTTGTTTTGTTGGTTTTGGTCTTGGTTTTTCAAGACAAGGTTTCTCTGTGTAGCCATGACTGTCCTGGAACTCACTCTGTAGACCAGGCTGGTGTTGAACTAACAGAGATTTACCTGGCTCTGGGGTACCAGGATAAAAGGTGTGCTCAGGAGTACTACCAGTAACATATAGTGGAAATTAACGGCAGGGAGCCTCGTGTACACTAGACAAGCACTCTAGGGATGAGCTACATCCCCAGACTCCTGCTTCCGGATGGGAGAAGTAGTGGGCACTAGAGTTGAACTAGGGGCAGGGACGGGGGTGGGGGTCACACATGCTAGTCTCTACCACAGAGCTGCACTTCAGGCAAAATTAGCACAAATTTATAGGCAAGTTAGGTACCCAGGCACAGCCAATAGTGGTTTAAAACAAAGAGTTAGGGTTGGGCACATAGCTCTATAGTATAGTATATTATCATGTAAAAGGTCTTGGGTTCAGTTCCCAACACTGAAAATTGAAAAAGTAACAGGGATAGGGAATTCTGTTTGCTCTTGTCAAATATCAGGAACCATTCTGGAGAGATAGCTTGGGGGTTAAGAGTGAATACTGTTCTTACAGAGACCCTATGCTGGGTTCCCTGTACCCAATGTCAGATGCTTCACAACTGCCTGTAACTCCAGCTCCAGGGAACCCAAAGCCTCTGGCATCCTCAGGCATTCAGGCATTTCACCCATGTGCACAGACCCACACTCAGACACACATGCAAATGGATAATGTAAATTTTTTTCCTTGTTTTTTTCAAGACAGGGTTTCTCTGTGTAAAAGCCATAGCTAATCTGCAACTAGCTCTGTAGACCAGGCTGGCCTTAAACTCATAGAGATCCACCTGCCTACCTCCCTAATGCTGGAATTAAAGGCAAGTGGTACCACTGTCCGGCTCATAATTTAAATTTTTTTAAATGAAAATTGAGTTTAGGAGCTGGCACACATTTGCAATCCCAGTATTCAGGAAGTATAGGTAAGAGGACCAGAAGTTCAAGGCCAGCCTATTTATGCTTAGAATTTGCTTAGAAAAAAAAACTTGTACACATGCATGACCATGAATGTCATAAAATCCATGCCCTAAGAGGAAAATTATTATTATTAGCTATCAATACATTCACTCCCCTATATAGTACAACAAATGTATGTATCAACCCATCTCTTTTGGTTTGTGTGTGTGTGTGTGTGTGTGTTTCTGTGTATTTTCACACAAAATTGGGATCCCAGCTTGATAGGGTAATGCATACCAGCACTAGGAAGGCCAAAGCAGGAAAATTGCCATAAATTTCAAATATAAAAGGCAAAATGTAGAATCCTACAGTTTCTAGTTTCCATATTTTGGAGTGGGCCTCATTAGTCATCAGACCTGTCTCAAATCATTTATGAATTTTTTTGTCTGTTGAAGTCCCAGTTCGGGTGATGTGTCCTTTAAGAGAACTTCCCTCTGGAGCCCCTGACAAGAGACCACTCTAGATTGGTCACCGGCTCACTTTCCTTCCTTGAGGCTCAGGTCTATCTTGTATGACAATTTCTCATGTTCTTCTAATGTGTCTATTTAACTGGGGCCAAGGGCCCTGCCCTATTCATAAGTGTGTACTCATACTCATGGTGCCTAAAATCCACACAGAGGCACTTTATATATCTCAACAGTGTTCGTTAATTTAATGGCAATGAAGAAGGCAATCAACGCTTAGCTGCTGGAAAGCAAAAGTCAAAATGGAAGTCAAGGCTTAGGTAACCCCAGTATCACCTAAATCCATCCTCCAGTCATTTCCCAGGATTACTCCAAATTCTCAGAAAAGGACAAGCACACACAGGGCTCTGTGTATGATATATATTTATATATATAATCACTCTCGCTTTATTGTACTTTATCCTCTTTTTACAGTAGATCTGACACAGGCATTAAATAACTGCAAGGAGGACTGGGAAGATGAAGGAGCAGGAAACCCGGGCACGCAATGGAGGAAGACACAGATCCAGTGGGAGGAAGAAGGGAAGGGTCCGTTTGCCTGTGGGGCCTCAGTGTTAAGGAAGAAGTGGGAGGTTAGGAAGGATAAAGACAAGCAGAGAAGCCAGAGGAAAATGCCTCTACAACTGAAGAAAATTCAGAACAGAGACCCTTATTTAACATTCTAGGGGCCTTACAGGGGTTGTTTGTTTGTTTGTTTTTTAAAGGCAAAAGAGTCTGAAAGAGATGGAGCCAAGAAATTTGGAGCTGAGCTGGAGGCGGGTATCTGAAACTTTCAGGCTGGCATGCAGAAAGGAAAGGAGTTAGTGATCAGTTAGTAACTCACAAGGAGAAGCCGGAGAGAGCATGGGGGTGGGCAGATCTGGGCTCAGGGAGTCCCCCCAGCCAGCTGACGTTTCCAAGGTGGCCACTGGGGAGAGAGCCAAGATAGTGGCCCCTCCCCCAGAGCTCCCTGGGAAGTAGAACTTGAAAGATATTCTGGGAAGGCCAGTGGGGGAAGGGAGTCAACAGTTAAAAAACAAAGTGGATATTGAGCCCAGGTCAAGACCGACTGTGTCGGAGCTGTTTGGATGACAGGGGGGACCAGGAAGAAGCTAGAGTCTAGGCCTACTAGAGAATTCTCTAAAAGAATTAAAGACTCTTCCAGTCCTCCTTTCCCAGAACATGGACTCACAATTCGGGGAGAAAGAGGATGTACCACGAAGGAAGGAAGGAAAAGGCCACAGAACCAACTTGTACTCAGTTACAAATGACTGCTTTTCCAAGGGGATAGGGATGGGGGAGAGGAGAGGACAGACCAGTTGGAAGAACCAGAAGTCAAAGCCACCAAGATACTGGCTATAGTGACAGAAGTGTGTGAAGTGATAAAAGGAATGCCGCTCTAGAGCTTTGTAAAGGGTCGAGGACCACATTCATCTCTGGGAAGCAAAGGACTGACCATGGCCAGGGCTAGGTTGAGGTGGGGGGATGAGTATATAGGTGGCTGGGTTCATGGCCATATCTATAGATCTCAGTGGATGGGAGTAGAAATAGAAGAAACAAGAGCTGTCTCTATCTCTGGCTAAGCTAAGGTTGGAAGATGTTGGAAATTGTGTAGACATCAGGCTAGGTTGAGAAGTTGAGGCTCAGACAAGTCATAGCTCTGTTATAAAAAATACCTTTGGGGGGGTGAGGGAGGGATCAGGCAGGGTCAAGGACATTCCAGAAGCATCCACGGGAAAGTGGGGGGAGGGGGAGCCTCAGGTTTTGTTGATTCGAAGTTTGAAGGCCACGCGGCCAGCAAACTTGTCCCGCTCATCATCTGTGGCGATATTGGCAGCGTTAATGCGGCATTCTACATTCACCTCCACGTTGGGGGTCACATTCAGGAACTTCACAGCCACCAAGGGCTGTGTATAGTTCACCTAGGCCAGAGAAGACAAAGAATTCAGCCCCTGGTGCTGTGGCCTCTTCCCCAAGATCCCCGTTTTGCCCTTCAGGAGCCACCATCAAAGGCCTTCCTTGGGACTTACATGGAACTTTTTGCCATAGTAGGGAAAGTACATGAGGTCAATGTTGCCATTGGCAGGGAACATGACGAAGTGGCCAAGATTCTCAGCATCTTCATCTCTCTGTGGGGGGTGCAGGAAGGTTTAGGAGAGAGGATGTTAGGGACAGCAGGCACCTGAGAGCCCAGGTTTCCCTCGCACATCCTTCACCCCAAATTATTCCTCTCAAATTTGTTTTCCTTGAGCTGTGCATCTGCTCTGTAGGGGGGAGGGGTGTTGTGTGTCCGTGCACACATGTTCTTATCTGCATGTCTACAGAAAGAGGGTAGCCTGTCTTCCATCAGATTAGATTTCCTAAGGGTGCTAGCAACACAGTGGCAGCCTTCCACGCCACTATCAACCCCAAGTTCTTACCCCATCCTTGGGAATCGGTCTCTGGAGCAGAGCCAAGAAAGAACAGATAAACAGTAAGGACTCAGTAGGAAGAAGGAGGAGGGTAATGTGGGGGGAGGGCAGCAGATTTCTAGAGAGATGGAGTCGGGTGCAGGGTTCCAACGACAACTTAGTTGTAGCAAATGGTGCTAACTGACCAGCAGCTATCCGACATCTACAGGGAACCGGGAAACAAGGCAAGATGGAAGGGAGAGTGGAAGAAACACAGACCCCTGAGGAAAAAAAGGTAGAACGGGAAGGAGCCAGAGGCCAGGGCTTTGGTGCAGGAGGGGGTGGGTCTGTCTCCAGGAGAGCAGGCTTCTGTGTCCTACAGAGAAGCAACAGGACTAAGAGCCCCTTAGAACTACAGCTGTACAGCGCCTGCTCTTACCCCCTTGTCCCTATAGTGTTGGGGCCTCTGAAAGCAAAACAGATAGGGAGATATGGGTGAAGCACTCAGAAACCATAGGTACAAACAGGTGAGCAGGTAAGGAGGTCCCACACACTCACCTTCCCAACACAGGTAACGTTCATACTCTGATTTGCCCCTGCATAGAAGTTGATGACCTGGAGAAAGAAAAGAGGGTGGAGTTAGAAGTTGCTGCATCTTGGCATTTGGCCTTCCAGCTCCTGGACTTAGCTTTCACTAGCCCCACCTCTTACTCAGTACAAACAACCAAACATCTCCTTAATACCCATTAACCCCAATGAAAGGACACATTAGTTAATGGGTGGTGGCCCCAGCTCCCTCCTTCTCCCTAGGGACCAAGGTCATGGGTACCCGGTTCATTTTGATGAAGACACAGGGCTGCCCAGTGCTGTAACCATAGTGGGTAGGGTCCCCAATGCCAGAGCAATTGCCCAGCTGTGTCCGGTTGAATTGGCAGGCTCGTTTTGGATAGTTGAGGACCCCATTATCTGGTTGCTCATAATATCGACCAGGGCGGCAGACATCGTTCTTTTGGGCTTGGATGGAGTCGTTGTAAGCTAGGAGGTGGGAGGGAGAAAGAGTCAGAGGCCTGATGTTCCACGTGGCAGGTCCCCAGTTCCCCCTCAAGGTCCCGGACTAGCCCCGCACTCACGCTCTAAGAACTTGTTGAGCTTCTGAACATGCTGATCCCAGCTTTCAGTGTCACTGATGTTGACAATGACATCAAGGTTCTCAGTCTTGGGGCGAATCATCAAGCCTGCAGCCAACGTGAGTAAAGGTTGGGGTCATATAAGAAGAGAAACACATCAAGGAAAGGAACAGATGTGACGAACACCAGGGAAAGGGACAGGGTAAAGACCTGAGGTTGCCTTCCTGGGATAGCAATCTCCTGTGGCATTTGCCATTTCCCCAGGTCACATAATTCACAGCTGCTGGGCATGAGAAGGAAGGAGGGAGGGAGGCAGGGAGGGAGGGAGGGAAGGAAGGAAAGGAAGGAAGGAAGGAAAGCAGGCAGGCAGGCAGGCGGGCAGGCCAGCCAAGTTCAAGAACTTCCTGTCAAACTCCTGGAAAGAACTAAGTTCCTTGTGAGGGCTTGAAGACACAATAGTTAAGAGTGGCTGGAAAGGGCCCTCTTCACTCACCTGGTGTGGCCAGTCGATCCTGGTACTTGGGAGTATGGTCAGAGACAGTCTGCAGCATCACCCACATGGTGAGTGTGAACATGGCAGTGAGGAAGCCATAGAAGACGAGGTAGAAGAGGAGGATGAAGGCTGGGGAGGAGGGACTAGAGTCAGCAGCTTCCACACCTCCTTTATACCCTCACCTAGCCCACCATCCCGCTCATCTTTCTTTCCTCTCAAGCTGTGCACTGGGATGGCCAAGGAGCTACAGGATATCTTAGGGCCTTCTCCTGGGAGCCAAAGGAAACAAGCTGGGAACAGGCAGAGCCCAGCTCCAGCCCGGACTCCCAGCCTCCTCCTGGGGCACAGTGAAGTCTGACCTTTTGGAGGCCACAAGAGACTTAAACTGTAGCTATTGTGACAATTCCAAGAATAAGCCACTGTCGTTCTGCCTGATTACATTCCCAACCTCTCAACCTGTGCATGGTCCTTAAAAGGCACAACTGTCCCCGCTGCATTGGAACTCATGCTTAGAGACATGCCAGCACAAGGACTGTGAGCTGGCCAGGCCACTATTCTCAGCCAAATTCTTACTTACTACCTCCTAGGGCTGAAATAGCAAGATCTATCTATCTCTCTCTCTCTGCTCTCTCAGTCTCTCTCTCTCTGCTCTTTCACTCTGTCTCTCTCAGTATCTCTGCTCTCTCGCTCTCTCTGTCTCCCTCTCTCTCTCTCTCTCTCACACACACACACACACACACACACACGCGCGCGCACACACACACACACGCACGCACACACACCTTGTGGGAAGCCAAACTTTTGGAAGCAGCTCTGAAATGAGGGGCAAACAGCAGCCCAGCTACGAAGACATGGAGCTTCTGGTCAGAGTCAAGGAGAAGACAGACTGGGCTAGAAACCTTGCCTGGACATCTTATCTCATGACTCCTCTCCTCGGCCTCGCGTGAGGAGGACATGCTGTTCCAACCACCCTGAGCTGTCTGTCAGTGTTTCTGTCTAAGAAGACACAGTTCCTCTGTGGAGCCTTCTGACTGTCCCAAGCAGTCATTCATTGATCCTTCACATCCCAGAGGGTCTCTGGTTTCTTGAGGAAAGGGGCTGCATTGATCTCCTTTCATGGTTCCCTAAGTCCTAGGTGGGTGGTCTGATGAAATTGTGGCCAATCAATGTGGATACATTGTAAATTATGTCACACAGGATCCCTTGTGCTTTACTTCTCCACCTTGGCAGCGTCTTTTGCTAGCATGTCACCCTCACCTCACCTGTGCTCAATCAGCAGACCATGGCTACATAAAAGTCCTTGCACGCCCCTAGGTTCCTCCAAGGCAATGGAAACACCCAGTCTGAGGGTGTATCCATCTCAGCACAGTGACCATTTCTCCTTCCGCCTCTAACATGTGAAAACATCTAGCCTGAAAAAGTGTCATCTCTCTTGGCAGCCCCCGACCCACAAAACCGCCACAGAAGGCTCCAAACGCCCAATGGTGGAATATGGACAAACAACTTCCGCCGCCGTTACGAACGCCCCCCCCCTCCAAGACCCCCTTGCCAGATCCGCCCCCTCATGAATGTTCCCAGGGTCCAAGGGGGTGGGTGAGAGCTAAAAATAGACGAGGTTGGCTAGCTAGTGAAAGCCAAAGGGAGAGTTAGGGCACTCTTCGGGGAGGGGGGTGAAGACCGTGTGCAGCCAGCAGAGCCTGAGCCGGAGCGGGAGCGCCGCTGCACGGACACGCGCGCAGAACCCGCGACCCCCCGCCCGAGGGGGCTCCGCGGGGGGCGGGCAGGCGGCAGTGACCTACTTTCTCCGCCTCCGCAGCGGCCAGCCAGAGAGATTAGACCGCTGATTCGGGCCCCTCCCGGTCCAAAGCCGGGCAGTGGGGGCTGGACGCCAGGGACCCGGCAGGGGAGCTGGGGCGACGCCCGCGGGACCCTGTGCCCCAAAGGCGTCTCCGGGCAGCCAGCCACCACCTTTCCCGCGCCAGCCCCGCGTACCCCAGCTGGTCCCGGTGCGCCCCATGAACTGGTGCGTCCGCGGGTTCCACACGAACTCCTTCCACTCCTCAACCACCTGCCCGCAGCTCTTCTTCTCTTTCTGGATGACCATCTTGGCGGCACGGGGCGAGTCCCGGCGCGCTGCGGGGGGCTGCGGAGAAGCGGGGACGTCGCGCGCTGAAGCCCTCTACGCACCGAAACGCGCGGGGAGCCAGGCGAGGCAGACTCCACTCAGATATGCAGCTGCTGCAAATTCCGGGGTGCACAGCCACTCGCTGTGGTCTGATGGCAGCCTAGCGGAGGTGCGCCGAGGCTAGGCCCCCCCGACTGCGATAGAAAGGGGGGCTGTCAAAATAGGGAAAGATAACCAGGGGAAGGGGTGCCAAGGCAGCTTAACCTCGCACACCGCCTAAAAGCAAAACAAAAAGGGGTGCGAAAAACAGACGGCTACAAAACCCGAACGAAACGCACAAAAACGGGGTGCAAAGAAGCAGGGAAAGATGGGGGAGGGAACCGCCCCGAAATCCGAGATGCAAAGAGGCTGTGGAACGCGGCAGGTGGCCGATTAAGGCTCCTCCGACAAACGGCGACAACCACACCACAGTTGGCCCAGCCAGTGGAAGCTGAGGCGGGGACGGGTAGTTTGGAAAATAGGCAAAAAACGGGGTACCCCCAAGCGGAGGCTCCGCTCCTCAGCAGTGCGGGGAGCGCGGTCCCTGCGCACGGTTTTTATACTCTGTGATTCTGAGGGTGTCCGCCCCCTTCCCACCCACTCCCCAGGAACCCCGCCTCTTCGATGCTAGCCCGGGAGACCTCATACATATGTAAATATAGAGGGATTGGACCCGCCCCCTACTGCGTCCTTTGGTCCTAGAGGGTTCTTCCCTACTCCCGACCCCAGGTATTGTAATGGACAAGAGGAAAGAGGGTGTATCTGGGTGGAAGAGAGGAAAAGATCACCCCCAGAGAGGCTCAAACCGAAAGACAAGCTGATACATACTCAAAAGTGGGGACACGCGGCAGGGAATTTAAAAGGAGACTAAGATATAGAGTTACTTCGAAAGCCTCCGGAGCGGAGGACAGAATGTGAGAGGAATAAAGAAAAGCGCCAGACGCCAAGAGCCAAGAAACTAGAAACACAGGGAGGGATAGAAGCCACCTCCCACAGGATGCCCTTTTTCTCGGGTCCTCCACATTTGCTTGACCCAAACATTTGCCTGACCCTTCTTTCTGTGGCAGAAACACCACCACCACAGCCCACTTGCAGGGGATGGTTCTCTTCCCAGGAAACTCGCCACACCGAACCCCTTTAATCCCAGCAGAGACAGAGACAGGCGGGTCTCTGTGAGGCCAGCCTGGTCTACCCTGTCTCCAAAAAACAAACAAAACCAAAAAGCGACTATGACTTGTTGTGGTGGTGGTGTCCTGCTTCTACTCCCGAATACCGGGATGGCAGTTGTTCACCATCATATTCAGCTCCAGGTTGCCCTTGAATCCATGCTCCTCCTTCCTTTGCCTTCTGAATGCTGAAACTACAGGTGTGTATGACTATGTCCGATTGTAATTTCAAATTTAATCCAAGTTCATGGAAGTAATTCTAGCATTTTAAACTATGGAATGACATGATTAAATTCAGTAAACATACCAGGCATGGTGACAACATCTGGATTCTGCTATTGGGAAACTGGGGTAAAAGGATTATTGAGGTCAGGAATTCAAGGTCAGTCAGGACAATACAACTAGACCCTAACTCAGAAAAAAATTCATCCTGATAACGTTTGAGGCCAACCTGGGCTATATAGAGAAATCTCGACTCAAAAACAAAGCCAATGTACTCGGGAGGCAGAGGCAGACAGATCTCTGTGAGTTTGAGACCAGCCTGGTCTACAATAGCAAGTTCCAGGACAGGTTCCAAAGCCACAGAGAAACCCTGTCTCGAAAAACAAAACAAACAAACAAAAAAACAAAGCTGGAGGAGAAAAGTATGAATAAATATTATCAAAACACATTGTATATGTGGAAGAGATTCTCAAAGAATAAATAAAATATTCTATTAAAAGCTGGTGGTGGGGCGTTGGTGGCGCACGCCTTTAGTCCCAGCACTCTGGAGGCAGAAGCAGGCTGATTTCTGAGTCGAAGCCAGTCTGGTCTACAGAGCCAGTTCCAGGATAACCTCCAAAGCAATACAGAGAAACCCTATCTCGAAAAACCAAAATAAATAAATAAATAAAAGCTGGTGGTGCCCTCCCTGTGGAGTGGGGGGGTAGAAGGGAGGGAGAAGGGATCAATAAGTAAAAATATTGTAATAAAAATAAAAGCCAGGTGGTGGCGCACACCTTTAATCCCAGCACTCAGGAGGCAGAGGCAGGCAGATCTCTGAGAGTTTGAGGCCAGCCTGGTCTACAAAGCCACACAGAGAAACCCTGTCTTGAAAAAAAAAATCTATTAAATATATTAAATGTATTATCCTCCCATTTACATAATTGTGTGTGTGTGTGTGTGTTAAGGCCTTGAGAAGCAAGGCCATCTAGGAAACTTTACAGCACATAAGTATTCCAGGTAAGAGAGGTGGCTGGCTTGAACGAGGGTATCAAGGTGGAAGATGGAAACAAGGGAATGAGAAGAGAAAGAAGAAGAGTAAGGAAAAGTAAACGATGGGGATGAGGCAAAGAAAGGAATCCAGGCTGGCACCTGAATTTCTCTGCTGAGCAAATGGATCATGAACTTATTTGTGTGCTTTGTCTAAGCAACTACATTGTAAACTTTCCCTCCCTTCACCCTAGTGCTGAGGATTGAAACCCAGGCTCCTAAATAGAATAGGTAAATACTCAACCCAAGACTACACTTTTTGAGACTAGGCCTTTATCTTAGCAAGATAATGCTGGTTGCTGAATTCAACTTAAATATGGAATGGCTTCTTCTGCAAGAAACCCGAGGACAGCAGCTTGCCCTCTCCAGTAGAAGAGCACTAAAATGGATGGACACACACACACACCCCATGGTAAATACAGCTTCTTGGCTGAGTCTCTGCCTGGGCACCAGGCTCACTTTCTTAGAAAAGAAAGGGTGAATGCCTCCTGGGCACTAGAGATAGGTCAGTGAGTAAGATGACTGTCACTCCCTTTCTTAGTCTTCTGTGGGGAAGGAGCTGGTAGATGGGAGGGAGGGGGGAAGGTCTGTACCAAATATCTGACCTATACTCAAAGGGAGACAAGCTGAGAAAGGGAAGATCCAGAAAAACCAGGGGGGGGGGTGGGGCAAAGAACCGTTAACAAACCTCCAACCTTAAGGCTGGTGCTATAGCTCAGTAGTACCATGCTTTCTTCTAGATACAGAGCCTTGGGTTCAATCCCAATCAAATGAGGAACAAGAGGAGGGAGAGCTCCTCTTCTGGAACCTGCCTCCATCCAGGATCTCCAGAGAGGAAAAGGGGTTCGGAGGCTGGGCCTCCTCACTGTCCTTGAGACAGAGCCAGTCTACAAAGGTCTACGCTCCCTCACATGCCCACAATTCCAGGATTTAACCTTTTCCCCCATTATTTGTGTGTGTGTGTGTGTGTGTGTGTGTGTGTGTGTGTGGTTCCGGGAGTCAGTTCCCTCCACCCCTTTTTTTATGTAAACTCTAGGAAGGAAGCCCAGGTAGTCATGCTTGGTAGCAGCTTGGTACCAGCTGAGCCATCCAGCCCTAATTCCAAGACTTAGATAAATGAGTTAAACAAGGTGGCTCTTTGCAAAGACAAAGGGCAGGAAAGCTGTTTCTACAGGCTGAAAGCACTCTCAGCTCAATGGTAGAGCATTTACCTTGCACTTGTGAGGTAGGTACCAAGATCTAGCCTGAGCACTGAAAAAAAAAAAATTCTGTGCATGGATAGTGTGTTGTTTGTGCACCATGTAAATGTCCTTTATGCTACTGAAATGAATACTTGGCGATGGTTAGGATGGTAGTTTTTATGTTGTTTGTATTTTATCACAATTAAAACAAAACAGTAAGATAAAACACAAATGTTCCTGCACTGACCAGATGGAGCCCAGACTCTCAGCAGGACATAGGCCTTTTATCATATGACCCAAGGAGCCTCCCCAACCTACCTTTTTTCCATCTGAGTCTGCCCAAGTCAACCACATGACATGCCCTTCACCCTTCTCTAGATTCAGCAGCCTCAGATTTACTCATCAAAAAACTAAATATGTGACTTTAGTAAAAAACAAAACAAAAAACTTATCACTCACATTTTGAGCACTTTTCAGAAGCCAACCACACGATTCCATCAAATCTTTAGAGCACCCCCAGAGACAGAGTAAATCAGACTGCTGAGAGTTCTAGACCAACTGGTTCTACCCAGAGAGTTCTAGGCCAGCCAGAGCTACAGAGTGAAACCCTGTCTAAAATATTAATGGAGGGGACTGAAAGTTAAAGTCATTTGTTCAACTTCATACTTCTAACAGCTCATCCCTTTGATATTCCTTGATGAAATAAATATCTAGGTTCCCTGCTACCTCATGGGTATCGCTGGTTTGTGGAGTTTTAGTTTTTCCTTTGTTTGTTTGTTTGTTTGTTTACTTTGTTTTTTCCAGACAGGGTTTCTCTGTGTAGGTACAGCCCTGACTGCAGATGAGGTTGGACTTGAACTTAGAGACCAGACTCCTGAATGCTGGGACCAAGGGCAGGTGCCACTATCCTTGGTGTTTCTTTTTGTTGTTGTTGTTGTTGAGTTTTTGTTTTTGTTTTGTTTTTTTGGGGAGTTGTTTTGTTTTGGTTTTTTTTTTTTTAGGCATCCCTACCAGGGTTTGGAAATATAGCTCAATGTTAGAGTATTCTCTCAGCATTTCCATGGTCCTAGATAAAAGTAGGGTGTGATGGTCTATATAGTGAGTCCAGGACAGACAGAACTATATAATGAAACCATACCTGGAGGAGGGGCCGGAAAGCAGATACATAAACAAAGTATATTACAGCCTAGAAGCACAACTCGGTTGATAGAGTACTTGCCAAGGATGCACAGAGCCCCAGCACTCATAAACCTGGCATGTGGTTGCATCTGTAATCCCAGCACTCACGAGGTGGAGGCAGAAGAGTGGGGTTCATAGACCATCTTCAGCCACAGAGTTTGAAGCTAGCTTGGGCAAGCTTGGGCAACATGGAACACTGTCTCAGAAAAAAAGTTGTGGCTTTGTTTGTTTTTAATAATATTTTACCTATGTATCTCTCAACACTCAGGGTCTCCAGGGACATTGCCAAGCCTTAGAGTCCCTGTCCATGACCTAACACAGTGCTTGGCATCCTGTCAGCAGCCAATAAATGTTAGCTGAAAGAAAGAGAGAGAGGACAGAGGGCAGACAAGGGGGGGGGGAGTGGAGGGGGTAGAAAGAGGCAGCGGATAGAGTGGAGTGAGCAGAGTAGGCCAGGCCTTGAGGCTTCAGTGTGTGCTGCCAAATCTGGACAGTTTTTATTTTTTTGGAGGTGGTGGGTGTTAGAGAAGGCAAGGGATGGTGAACAGGCGGGCACAGTAGATGCCCTTGGTAGGGGCTTGGCAAAGTCTGTGTTAAAGCAAAGTCAGTCTTAATGAAAGAGTGTAGACAGCTTTGGATGGCGGTCAGGAATCCTGGAATCTAGGGCATGCTGGAGAAGAAAGGTTGGGGGCATAGTGTCCTGAAGAGGACAGGGTAGAAGCAGAGGAGAAAAACTA